AATGATCTGCAGTAAAGATTCTGTTACATTTCTCAGCTCCTAATTACTTTCTTCAATAAAAACTATTTGCCAAGTCTTTTCCTTTCCTTTCCCCTCCTCTCGCCTTTCCCCTCTCCCCTCTCCCCTCTCCCCTTTCCCCTTCCCTCCCTTTCCCTTTCCCCTTTTCCTGTATTGTTCCGTTAATGGCAAATGTGAGCTCCATTTATGAATCTTTGTAGGAAGGAGACTGTTTGTCAAATAAATACAAGTCAGACCAAGAAGCAGAGGTGGTATTCAGCAAGTTCTGACCAGTTCTGGAGAACTGGTAGCAGAAATTTTGAGTAGTTCAGAGAACCAGCAAATACCACCTCTGATTTTACAGTATCTTTCCCAGGGGTGGGATTCTACCAGTTCTGTCCACCTCTGTAGAACCAGTAGCTCTGAAGAGCAGCAGATAGAGAACATACATAGAACCGGTTCTATGTCTGCTGCTGTTTTGTCCCACTGCCTGCCCGGGCTCTTACCTGACCTTTATTTCCTGCTTTTTCAACCACAGCTACTTTGCGCGACACAGCTGCAGTTGAAAAAGCAGGAAAAAAGTGCTTGTTCAACTGCTGAGCACCTGCCCGCAGTACTGCTCAGCTGTCCAGGCAGCTAGCTGACAACGATACACACACACACACACACACACACACACACACACACACACAAAGCGTGCAGCACGCAAAACGTAAAATTACTGAACTGGTAGTTACACCGGTCGGATCCCACTCCTTATCCTTCCCCTGCCATACCCACCAAGCCATACCCACAGAACCGGTAGTAAAAAAAATTGAATCCCACCACTGCCAACAAGACAACTGATACTGAACATCAAGTTATGGAGCCGTTGTAAATGCAGAGGACAGAAAGAAAGGGCTGACGGGAAGTAGATAAACCTGATACTACAGAAACATCTCTAGTTTACAAGGCCAGCTTCCTCTGATCTGGAAATAGTTGTCAAGTCATATGGCCATAAAAATACAGCCTCTCTGTGTTTCCATGGGAAAAGTTTTCATCCTAATTCTTTTTCATTAAAAAAAAAATCTTTGAGCAGCTAAACATAAAATTATGCCTTGATTCCAGATCTGAAAATTTGACTTGCTTATAACAGGTTTTAAAACGTTAAATCTTAAAGGCAGGCTTTTTATCTGAAAACGTCATATATTTATAGGAGGCTTCCAAACAGATGGTTCCTGGCACTCCCAAATAAATAAATAAAAATACTGCTTTGCTTTTTCATTTTTTCCTTCCTTAATGGATTCTTTTGTGGAAGTGGGTGGAAGAGATGCAAAACTCTAAACAGCAACGGAGCAGGACAGAAAGATTCACTCCTCCCCAGTCAGTTAGCTGCCCTTTAAAACCTTCTGATTTCTAATTACTTAATTTGGGTTGGATTATAAGCGTTATAAGCAAAACTGAATGATGACGGGGGTAGACTGATGATCAAATTTGTCACTAAATCAATTCATGTAATGCAATGCATGTAATGATATGGAAGAGACTGAAACACGTTCAGTGTTTTGTTATCTGTTCAGCCAGTGTGAGTTCACAATGCGCTTACATTTAATAAAGAAAAATCAGGAGAGGAGTTCATGTTTTGGAAAACCAAATCTTTTTCCACTGTGCTGAAATTTGTGGTGGGGCTAGAAGATTGTTTTGTGAGACTACTGCAGATTTCCATGGTAGTCTACCATCTATGGTTGCCAATATCACCTTTTCCTCAACCGGCAGTTCCAAACAATAGTTTTGTTGGCTACTCACTGAAGAAATTCCACTACACATTCTGGAGCACCATCTACTGGTGCTTGGGCTTACTTGCTTCACGTGGGTCACATGAGGAAGCATCCTATGCCAGGTGATGATACATAAGCAGCACACTTATTAATGCTCCAGGGATGTATTCCAGCCATGTGTAACTTAGAAAAAAATCTACTTCAGGACTGGGCGTTCACATTTCTGCAGAATGCAGTAGTCTAAAATAAGGTCAAGAGAACAGATGCCCTTCTTTCTTACAGACAGCAGTGTTTGGGCCCTTGTAATGTATACAATAATTATTTGTACTCGTTTTAAAAATATTTCATGTAGAAAGCATAGATTGGTTTCTTGCATTACTTTAGAAACAAGCAGAAATATTCTTTGCATGGTTCCTGCAAAAATTCTATATTAAGATGAACCCTCATTGTCAAATTTAGCCATGTCATCTATTCAGCAAATGTTAGTTTGGGGGTTGGAGCAGATTGTTTCATTGGGGTAATTATTACAGTTTGGTACAAGCGACTTCTCTTGTTCCCTTTTCCAGGGCCTTTGTTTTCCCTCCCTGCTTCTTCCTTTCACATTCAAGATGTGGCTGATTCCAACATCAAGAATCATGGAGTGGCTGAGATGGTTATCATTATGCAAGGCATGCAGGATGAAATGGCAACGCCTCTACACATCAAGGGAACACAATCATGTTGATTAATGTTAAAAATCAGATTTTTCTCTCTCTCTCTCTGTGCTGCTATCCCAGAGAGCAAAGAAGAGCATCTGGGCACGAGGAAAGACAGGGAGAAGAGGGGGTTGCTCTTTTGTAAAAATCATTTACAAAAACATGGTCTAGAGTTTTTGTTTAGTCTTTGCTATATATGCCAAACACCCAGATAATGAAAATCTGCTCTTCTGGAATGAGAGACAGAGAGGGATTGATTTTCTGATTGGAAAAGGCATGATTCAGTTTGTAACTCTATTGTTTTCTTCAAACAATCATGTCAGTATTATTCTGCTGAGCTATTCAGACCTGTTCCTGCCTAGAAGTGTGTGGGAGAACGTTGCTTTTTATCCCTGCTTAATGCTTAGTTCAATGAAGCCTGGTTGGGGCTTCTCCATGCTGTTTCCTGCTTTCTAATTGGAGCTATGAAAAACTGGAGCAGCAAAGGGAAGAGAAGACTCTGATGGAGCCATTCCTCCCATGGACACCTAACACCTAATTCTCAGAGTGCTGTCTTATGCCTAAGGATATTTACCCATGTAGCAGGGCTCTATTACTGTTATCCTTCTCATCTTTCTTATTTCTTTCTCTTATTGGTAGTTTAGGATTATATCACTTTGTTGTTTGCATGCATTACTGAGAATTTACGGAGGCAAACTCCTTGTGTATCCAGTCACACTTGGCCAATAAAGAATATCATATTCTATATTTTATTCCTCCTTTCTGCCCATGTGGCATTGGATTTGAACAGTGCCACCCTACCTTATCCCCCTTTCCCCCAAAGAAATTAAAAGTCAGCACCATTTGGCTGGTAGGAGAATTGAGAGAGGAGGGTGAACCTTGGTTGCTTGGAATGGTCTAATGTTAGTTGCACACTCACTGTAATATTTAACAGTGTGTCATTTGGATACCCTGGCAAATACCCTGCCTCCAATCCCACTGCGTATCTCTCCGTATGCCTGACCCAGATTCTCTTAATGGCAGCTGCACTTGATTGTAATCCCCTTTCCCATTACAACAGCTCTGCAGTGTATAATCCTTTATAGTGAGGCTTTCACGCAGATGCCCCTGCTTGTTATCCTTTTCTCGCCCCAAGCCATTCTTGTGTAGGAATGCAGCTGTTCAGTGCAAGCCTATGCTTGTTTGCTTGGAAGTGAGGCCCACTGCATCCAATGGAGTTTTTCTCCCCTGAGAATGTCCACTTGGGATGCAACCTTAGTTGGAATCACTGCGCTGCTGTATTCCCCCCACCCCCCTGCTTTGTCTGCTGCAAAATAGCTTTTTTGTCCTGTGAAGCAAATCTTGCAAAAATGCAACTCCCCTGAGCTTTCTCCAGCCATTTTGTTATAACCTGTAAGCTATGATTTTGAACTCTAGGGGTGTGTGTGTGTGTGTGTGTGCAAAACACACACACACACACACACACGAGAAAAGCAGCATAAATTCCAAACTGACTATAATGCCATAGGCAGTAAGATAAGGGGGTTTGTGAGGATTTATGTTTCGCTGTACAGATGTTATGAGTGAGATGCTAAATGGATAAGCAAAACCAAAAAAAAAGCTGTTTTTCGGTGATGCTGAAAATGAAAGAAACAGGCATATAAGAAAAGTGATTGGCAGTGCTCTCAGAGACTCCTGTAGGGGGAGGAACCAAGATGGTTTATACAATCGTTTTGTGCATGTTTTATATGAATACAGTATCTGCCATATTAAAGCGCAATGTTAATCAGTTCCAGAAGAAATTCTAATCTTGTGAAGTGTGATGGGGCTTGACAATTGCTCCTCTTTTAACACAAGAGAGCAGCTTGCTAGAAACCAGATAGTTAGTTCAAGGTGGAAGCCAAAAGGGACAGGCAATGGATGAGCTGAACTATAATATATTTGCCATCAATCATATCTAATTTCTCAGCACAGAATGTATCTAGTATTTCTTTCCATGACATATTCTAATGTGTTTCATTTTGTGATCTCTAATTCTATGACAGTATTATTAAATACCATTCATCACAAAGACAAAACAGATACGGCACTTCTTTTTTTAAAAAACTGCAATATGATTAAGACTACTACTGCTGGTGCTAATGCAGATGTTATTACACCACCGTTGGTAGCAGTGCCTTACAAATCCACAAACATGAATTGTATGCATACTTACTACGATTACTAGTGGTAATTAATTAACATTCCAACCACCCCTGTCTCCAAAATGGATGGGGACAGATATATAGAATAGACAGGAATGATGTGCTATTTAATAGAAAACATTATGCAGAAAGGAGAAAAGGCAGACAAATTTCATGCTTAAATGTAAGGGCAACAATAGGCTAAGATGGTGGGAGTCACAGGATTATAATACATTATTATGTGAGAGATGCTGCTACAGAATAATTGCTGGTGCGATGAACTACAGTGAAGTGGCAGTTCCCCAGGAAGAAGGGAGCACATTCCAGAAAGGAATGAGGCAGCACAGCTTAGAGATGGAGAGGAGAGAGAGGAGGGAGGAAGGGAGGGAGAGAGAGAGATTTAGGGTAGCTATTGCCAAGAATCTCCCAAGGCATATCCATTAGGATAAGGGTAGTAAGGGTTTAGTCTGGCAAGATTCTGTCTATTGTATATAAGCAAATAAAGAACTGGACTTTGAATTGTTCTATTTGAATTGTTCTTAAGACTCCTTATTCATTCCTAGTTTTCAAGTATGGTCTGTGTTCAAATGTCATCTTGGTGTAATTGAGCAACCCTTTAGTGCCTCTTTTCTGCTTTATCTGCATATCATTTCCCCTAACCTAAGGCAGGTGCTTGGAAAAAAGAGAGAGAAATTGTGAGGATTCTAGGTGGCAGGTTGTAAAGTGTAATGAGGCTGTAGGTGATGGAAACAAGTCAGAAATGCAAGGGAGGCTTGGGGCAGCTGGATAAACAGGCTGTACTCTTGGGGAACAGAGTGGGTGGCCAGATGAGAGAAACCAAGAGGAGAAGAAGTCATCAAGAAATAAGAAGGAGGCTCTTTTCTGAATTCCCCTCCCCCCCCCGAACTCTCACGGATTTTTGGTGTTTTGCAGACTTGTGAACACCAAGACCTTTCAAAGTCCTGATTGCTTGTGAAAAATAGAATTTGCAAATGACACTTAGAAAGGCTGGAAAAAATAAAGTGACAGTGTCCACCCGTCCCTGCTCATTAGAATAAAGAGACCCCTTGATGAGCTGCTCTTTAATCTCATTTATCCTCATATCATGAGCAAACCGTCTGCTAATCCATCTGTCTGCCTTTCCATTTATCCCCACTGATGGCTGTTTCATAGAAGTATTTATACCAACTACCCATCACAGCCATCTACATTTCTGCCCTCTCCAGGGACCAATTTTCAAACAAGGATAGATATGTGGTTTTCTAGGAGAGTTAGGGCTCCATCCATATTTAATATTGAGCCTGAAGATTCACAGTTCATTGTGAATGTCAGTACTGTAACACCGGTACATTTGTCCGATAACTGGCTGGTAGTTAATTACTATAATCAATTAACTGGGAGGGGACATGTCCCTATTATTCACTGTTACAAGTAGAAAGAGCTATATGAAAATCTGAACAGATTTTTTGCAGCTGTATAATTCCTTTGCTGCCTTTCATCACAGTTACACCACAGAGTCTCTTTGGCATCAGGGTGGCCCAATGTCTTACAAACAGTACCTCTCCAAACTTCCAGTGCAACCTTGCTGGTGCAGGATAATATGGGAACAAAGGACACAATGTTGTCATTTTCCTCCCCATCAGATCTTGTTTCCTTCTATTCTAGAAAAGAGACTCCACTCAGTTGTTAACTAGACAGGCCACAATTCAGTTATAAGAACAATTGACACCCGTGTCCTTTCCAAAATGTGTGTGTGTGTGTGTGTAGTATGGGGCTGGGGTGGGGAATGATGATATTGTATTATAAATCCTTCCCTGTGCAGGTCAATCCAATGTGCCGAAAATGGGACTGATAATGCGTCCCCTGTACATCCCGCAGGAAGAAATTCACAGAGGCTTCTAAGCTTTCCAAAATAGATAGCTGCCTTTGGGGATTTGAAAAGCTTTCTTAGGCCAACAATAAAAAAGTTGTGTATGTCTGTGGAAGATTTCCTCCCTACACACACACACACACACACACACACACACACACATTCTTTCGAGGATTAAGTATATTTGGTGAAAGCGACATGATGCGCCTTTCAAAACCGAAGATCCAGAAAGCATGGCTTTACTGTGTGAGTCATAATTCACTAAGTTTTTCCCAAATAAAATTGATGCTTCTCTGGGAGAAAAAAAAAGTCAGTTCTAAATGTGTATGCGTATACAAAGTATACAATGGCAGTGTTAGAGAGAAGCTTTTGCAATATCAGTATTTTGGCTTGAAATTATTTTCTCTCTCTTCAGCTGTGTAGTTACCTACTTGGATTTGAAGAAAAATTCAGTTTGGAAATCTGATTCAAAGCCAATTCATTTGAATGGCAACATCAAATCAACCTGCCAGATCAAATCGGAAAGTCAGTCTGATGCATCAAATTGCATTGCATTGCCAAAGGGATTCAACAGTTTGGAAGAGACTCTGAGAGCATGTACAAAAGCTCTCTCTTCTGAGTTATATCAATCTGATTTGGTGCTCCAAAGTGTTGAATTGACTCAGTATTTTCTAAACAATTGAATAGGATTGGACTGGCAACAAGAATGAAGCTGATCGTTTGAATTGCCCTGGAACTGCTTCACACGCTCTTACTGCATAAGGTTTCATGACAAATTAATACCTGATACGTATCTTCTCCGTTTCAGTCCTCTCGTTCTTTTTCTCCTTCTTGCCTTAAATTGGTACAGGATAGTATTTTGAAAGAAGCAGTGAGGTGAGGTAGAGAGAGAGAGAGACTACATATTTTCTCCATAATTCCAGCCTAATTCCAAACCAGATGATATAATAAAGCTGCCTGGGCAAAGTATTACCCGAATTTTCAGGAATAATTGACAAAGTTACAGCAACTAATCTTTCTGGGAAATAAGCTCCGCTGTCTCCTTCAGGCCTTGACTTCTCATGTAATGAAGGTAGAGAAAGTATTGGAGAAAAAAAATGTAATGTAAAAGTACCCTTAAACATGATCATTTGGGACATGACTAATAGTGTTTTCTCTTGCACTGAAGGATTTATAAAAAATATTTGGTATTTTTTCTGGGTTTATCCTTCTCAAGATAATTTGGTCTTCAGAGAAATAATAAGGAAATATATTTATGTGCATATGAAACTTAACATTCACCCTCTCTCTCTACAACACACACAAACACAAACACACGCACACATACACAGACATCATTCAAGAAGCCAGCTACTCTCAGGGGAAACAGCACTGGGATAACATCAATTCTATTGACATTGCCCAGTTGAAACTCTGCATCCCTAGAGACAACCCGTTTAATTGAGTGTGGTTATTAATATTGTATCATCAGCATCCAGATGGTCCAGAAAGGAAAATAGAGAGAGTGAAAGCGGGGAGGGGGGATGTACTTTTCTCTACCTTACTGAAGACATTCACATCAACATGCATTTCAGTCTATCTCTTCCTCTTGAATACATAATCTATATACTGCTAAAACTCTAGTTGGCATAATCTTTAATTGGGGTAAAACAAGGCATCCTAGATCCAAATACTTCAAATGGGCTAACTTACAAAATGTATCCAAAATCCGAGAGCCCTGACTCCTAAGGGAATGAAATTTGGGGATTCAGTGCTGCTGGATGTTTCTGGGATCATGTGATCTTCACTTTCAATATTCCATGACAGTTTCCGAGCCAATTTCACAATCTCTCACTCCCTCCAACACACCCTTCTTGACCAACACCCACCCCTATGTACCCTACATGAGTGATACAATACCTCATGTGCACTTTTGTGCATCATTCTCAAACTATGCCCTCCCACCTGCACACCCTTTCGGATCCACATGGTATCTCCATATGCACACTCACACAACCTTTGAAATCCCACATAGCACCTCTTGTGCACTCCCACATACCGTTCCTCACCCGCATGCCCTCATACCCCTTGACACCTTCCCCCACCTGGCAGCAGCCACTTACTTACTGGTGTCAGACTTGCAACTTCCTGCTGGCTTCCCCAGAGACTTTCTCTCTGTAAATTTTCTGTAAGCAAAATAGAGAAGCTGGCAGTAATTCAAGGAAGGAAGGAAGGAAGGAAGGAAGGAAGTGTGGTGGTCTGACATTCGAAATGAGACACAGGGAAAATGTCTGAGAAAATGCCAGCCCTGAGTGAACTCAGGTAGCAGTATTTATTGAGAAAAAACACAAACAAAAGTACAGTATGCATATTCAGAAACAATGACCTCTACAGAATTACCTCACCAGCATGAGAACATACAATCTTGGAAAGTCCCAGATGTTACCTTACTAGGATGAGATCATACAGCCACGGAAAGTCCCATGGGAAAGTCGGGAAAGTCCCATGAGAAAGAACAACTGTGTACCTTGAACTTTTACCT